CGTACAGTCATGTACAGGAAAAACTTAATGTGGACAAAAAAAAAATAAAATTTTTTAAAGGTTTAGAATGACGTTCGCACTGAGACGGGACATCCGTCTGTGAAAGATTTTTTCCGATAGTTCCTACCGTTTTCCCGCTATAGCTTTCACAAAGTCTAAATTAGAAACGTTACGTTCACGAACATGGCCGCGGTTAAAAATACTAAATGGGGCTCGTTCGAAGTCGAATGAATGGGCAAGTTTTTCACCGAACCAGTTTTGAGTTATGACTGGCCTGAGTGGTCCGACCTCCATGGGAGTAATATCGGCTACTGGTGTTCTCATTAATTTTTTCTAATTGGAGTTTAGGGCTACTGACGAACGAAAGGTAACGCAATTTTGGTTTTGAAACTTACTAAAATTACTACTATCCAGGGGAAGAGATGTGACTGTACAATAATTAGTTAAAGGACTGAAGCCTATGAATTCGTATTCCTAAGTAGGTATGATTACTTATAAAATGATTATGTGTGTCATCTCTTTATGCAAGTTCCATCATTTTAGTTAAAGAAGATCACTCCATTGGAGAAACAGCTTTCGTCACCCCAAACGACCATTTTGATTTTCTCAGAATGCCGCTTGGTCTGGTCAACGCTCCTGCTCTTTTTAAATACTTAATTAATAAATCGTTGGACAAACTAATGAACACGATAGCCTTTCCTTATATTTATGAAGTAATAATCCCCTCTTCATTAGAAGCTGAAGCTTTAAAACGATTACTGTTAGTCGTAGTCAAACTAAGAAAATACAAACTTACACTAAAATTGAGTAAATTTGTGAAAGGTACTACAAAACTGTGATCATGGCCCTCGCAATAATCGTAGTACAAAAAGACCCTGCTGAAAGGGACATATACGTCAAACAAATCCACTCTAGTTTTAATATGGCCTTTAACAAAGCAATCAGCACATCCTCAATGGAGGTACTACTAGTTTGTATAGGATTGTTCGGAAAGTCATTTCGTTTTTTCCCGACAGAGGATTTAATTGTATTCTTTTGCACCCAACTTCACATTTAAGCCGTATAATTTTTATATGCTTTGAGAGCTCATATAGCAAGGCTTGTGTGTGAAAAATTCCAATTAATTCTACGCAGTAGTTTTTGGTTGGTGCCCTTTTAAATATGGAGAGCGATAAGCAGCATTTTCGACATATCTTACTGTTTTACTACAGAAAGGGTAAAAATGCTGTTCAAGCCAGAAAGAAATTGACTGATGTGTATGGAGAAGGTGTGTTGACAGTACGCCAGTGCCAGAACTGGTTCGCTAAATTTCGATCCGGCAATTTTGATGTCGAAGATGCACCACGTTCGGGAAGGCCGGTTGAAGCTGATAAAGACGCGATAAAGGCATTAGTTGATGTGAACCGGCGAATAACAACACGTGAGATCGGATTGAGGTTAAATTTATCAAATTCAACAGTTTATGACCACTTGAAAGGCCTGGGATTATCCTCGAAGCTCGATGTATGGGTTCCCCATGTTCTCACAGAGAGAAATCTGTGTCGCCGCATTGACGTCTGCGATTCGCTTCTCAAACGTCACGAAAATGATCCGTTTTTGAAGCGCATCATCACTGGGGACGAAAAATGGGTTGTATACAACAACGTCAAACGCAAGAGGTCATGGAGCAAAAAAGATGAACCGGCTCAAACCATTTCCAAAGCCGATATTCACCAAAAAAAGGTGATGCTGTCTGTTTGGTGGGATTTTAAAGGAATCGTTTTTTTTGAGCTTTTACCGGATAACACAACGATTAATTCGGAAGTCTACTGTCATCAGCTGGACAAACTGAATGATGCACTTCAACAGAAAAGGTCAGAACTAATCAACAGGAAAGGTGTAGTGTTTCACCAAGACAACGCGAGACCTCACACAAGTTTGGTCACTCGCCAAAAGCTTTTACAGCTTGAATGGGATACAATGCTACACCCACCATATTCTCCAGACCTGGCACCATCGGATTATTATTTGTTCCGGTCACTCCAAAATTTTTTAGACGGTAAAACCTTCACCTCAAATGAGGAGGTCAAAAACCTCCTCGATCAGTTTTTTGCCAGCAAAGACCAAAAATTTTATGAGCGTGGAATTATGCTACTACCAGAAAGATGGCAAAAGGTGTTGGACCAGAACGGTCAATATATAATTTAATAAAGTATTTGTTTATTATACGAAAACTGTCTTTCATTTCCACAAAAAAAAAAAACGAAATGACTTTCCGAACAACCCTATAGAATATCGATCGATTACAGGAGCATCAAGACAAATCACGACGTGAAACACCATCTTATACGAAAAGAGATTTGGTTATAGTCAAAATACCGAATGAATTACCATGGTTATTATCAATGACCGTTACGAGTGCCCTACACGATTTTAACGAATAGTAGTGACATCAGACCATCTCAGAAAGTGGATTACTGTTCAAGATGACACAGAGCAAGTTAACAAATCTCATTTGTAAGTACCACGATTATTCAGATGAAAAACGAATTGAAGCAGATGTAATGGCATATTTTCACGACATTTACGAAACGAGATTAACGGATTTTTATATACGAAACGAAATTAACGAATCTACTCTATTTGTTTTATCGTGGAATTGAGTCCAAAGGGAATTAATTGTTGAAAATAAAACAACGAAGATTTAACTTACCTATTTAAATATACCTACGGAAAACAAGACATCTACTACATTACATATTACTCTTACTACTTGCTATTACTGACTAAAAAACTAAAAATACCAAATGTACCTTATTCATTTTTCCACCACTATAGGTAGACTAGACAAAACAAAAAATACAATGCTGTTTGTCAAGACATCAGCAGCCCCCAGCGCCGCACTTTGCCTTTGATCTAGACACCGCTCGTTTCAAATAACGAGATAAAACATGCAAAAAGATACCTAAATCTATACAAATTCAACACTATTCACGAAGAGAGATCAACTTACCAACAACATTAACGAACTTTTACTTCTTTAAAAGAGCAAATTTTTCTGATTTCTGCCCTCCAAATCCTGAGCATGACCGAGTGACGCCAGCACATTATTCGGTATACAACCGTAACCTTGATAGATCGTCAAGCGCCGCTTTTAGGTTATGGGAGGCCGGAAGAGAACTGGATAAAGGACATAGACCTTTGAATATTATTATGCATGGTTACTTATAAAAAAATTTTGTGTACAACACATCGTTCCATATATTAAATATGCTAAACAATTGCAAGAGTGTATAATTATTTATCTTATATACATTTGTATTTAATGTGTGGTAAAGGTGGATAAAATTATTCAGTATTATTTGTAAATGATTCATTGTTTTGCGGAAGTAATAATTTTATATTGAAATGTGTAGGTATCTCTGGCAATAAGTCTGGTCGTGATTAATCACTGTACTTTTTTGATTTTAATAACTGTCACTTTCTTTAATAAGAGAATTACTTGTTTTTTTTTCGAAATTTTTTTTCACGCATGTGAATATCTCGATCCTCTAAATTCCACAATTAGCAGAATTTAATGGCTATCTTTGAAATAGCTTGAGCAATAAAATAGTTATGTCATCTTATCATAGAGAACGCACTAATTCTATTTCATGAAAATCGAGATAAATTTCCGTTCAATTTAAAATCTAAGCAAACGATATATTTATTTTGCATTGGATTAGACTACATTGAGGACTGCATCATGAACAAAAGTTGACGCTGATTTTAAAAAATGTTAATCTGGAAAATACTCAAAGGCCTTTATTCCAGCCAGCGACTGAGTGGTCGTTCGCTGCATATCAGAGAGTAATTGACTGTCAATAATCAGCTCTATTTAGAGTTAAAAGCAAACTCTTAGCAATCATTATTCGCCTAATATTATTTTATAGATTATTTCTTGCACATCCTAAAGTAAAATAGAGGTTTACGAAGCTTGATCTTGCTAATATTATCTGGAGATTAATATGACGAACAGAATAAAACACTCTAATTCTACACGGAATATCAGGTAAACGGAGAATTTCGCTACTGTCTCAGACAGTTGATTCTCATTATAATCTCTACGTAGGATTTCCATAAAGTAGTCTCACCTGATAACAAACAGCAAGATATTATTATTATTAGCTTGATATCATCAACACAGTAAAATTTAGTAAACTGTGTATTGAACAGAAACACAATCACGTATTGTACACGTGATTGCCAAAAACTGAAGCAGGGCCGTATTTAAAATTAAAAGAACCATAAAACATATCTTACAGTTTCGAGGACAATAAGGATGCTGAAAAATGGACAAGTACTTAAGTCTAATTGAGACGTATTTCACAAAAACATCATTCCAAATTACTGAAATTGAGTTATTAAGCCTGCCTTATGAGATTTTATTGATGTATCACTAATTGAACTGTTGCATGTATTTTGTTTTTGAATGTACGTGTATTTTTGAAAAATAAGTATAATTAACACAACACCCTTGTACTTTCTTGCAAAAGTAACATATGATCAACTGTTTTCACTATTTGTTTTTCAAATTAAGAATTGAATACATATACTCATTTCAAAATAAAGTGGTTATATATTAAATATAATTTTATCAATAACCTTTACATTGACGTTAATTCCTTTTTGTGATTTCTGAAAATTTGTATCCTTTTGTGAAACACGTCTCAATTGTGTATTAAGGAACAAATAAATTTATTTATTTTTAAGATTTCTAATAATGATAATGTGTATTGTTTTCTAAATAGAAGATTAATCATTGTCTTGAAATTGGATTTCAATAAAAATAAATATTTTTGCCAATAATAATCGGATATTATCAGTTGCTTTGAATTCTAAAGCGGTTGTAGTAATTACGTCTATTATTTATATTTTTATCAAATTATGGATTTTAATCAGATAACAGTAGGCTTGTAACTTATAAATAAACCAAAAAAAAGGTCAAAATCATATAAATAATCTAAAAGCCCCAGTGCACAAACTCATTGAATGCAACCCTGGAAAATTTCGATTGATGCGAGCATGGGCCATCACCTCCTGATATACTAACAAAAACCACGCTGCACACGTGCTAATTGATAAATTGATAATGTCACATTCAAAGTTGTTCTGATTTGGTATATCTTGAATGTAAACAGGTAATAATACTTATTCAATTGTTGTTGTTTATCAAGATCGATTTTCCATATAAAAGAGGAGCACTTAGTAAGTGAACAACAGAACCTCTTATTTTATACACTTCAAAATGTTATCCAGAAAACATTTGCTGCTACTCTTGATAATGGTCAATTGTAAGTATATAATATACATTAACATAAACATATTCATTAATATTTTTTTAAATAATAACATTGTTCTTTATGATACCTTCTTCCTAAAAGATTGCATTTTTATTAGTTTAAATTATACCAGTAATGGTCACTGTAATTCACCCCCTAAGCTTTCGCTTAACAATTAGAACTTATAAAAAGAAAAAGGAATAATAAAAAACCACTTGTAAGTGTTTCGCTGAATTTAATGAAGGATTTGTTACAGTGTGTTTCGTCCAAATGGTCATCTTCAATCTTTTTAATTTCCAAATATTCATGTAAGATTTTCATGGCTACCAATATGTGATTGTTGTAACTGGTTAATTGTGTATACCTATTTCCTATGTGTTCTGAAATTAAATGTTTGATGGCGCTCCTGCACTGTCCTACATATGTATATTGTCACGTCATATTGTATAGAGAATTGAATAGAAACGTTCAGAAAAAGGATCTTTCTGTCAATGTAAATCAATACATCGTAAAAGTTAACAAATTTCCTTACATTGATAGGAACGTTATGATCATCCCGACCAGGAGGTAGTGCCACGAACACTTAAGGTTTCCCACCGGTGAAACTCTTAAGGGTAGAGTCTTTTTCTTAACGCGTTCCCGAGTCGACTAATCTCAATTAGACCATCGATCCTCGTTCACGCGCTAAACTTCGTGATGAACCAGTGATTATTATTTGTACATAGTTCAGCATAAGTCATTCAGTGGTTCCAGAAGTTTCTTTGGCTTAGCTGATTTAACAAAAAACTGATGTAATTTGCGATACTAACTAGGTCAGAAAACCGTTTTGTTTGTTTCGATGACTTCGTGAAGTTCCATAATTTTCAGATTAACCAAAACTTGCGTTAATTTCCCCTTGTACATAGATAATTCTTATTGCTTACTGTGTCGTTGCTGCAGAATGTCAAATATGCTTATCTTCCAAGTAAATGAACTCATGTTTTATGAATTCAGGAAGAATTGTAACGTTATAATTATGGAATATTTAATAATTTTGAAGTATGTATAAGCGTAAAATCGTTTTTTGAGTCTTCCTTTTTGATAGTACAAACTAGGGCAATACAGTTCTGGTACTGATATTATTTTCGTGATCTTTGTCGTTAGCTCCATGAATGTTGTCCATCTGGATACCCAGGGTTTCACATAGTCAACAGAAGTAGAGGTTTTATCCAGTTTTACAATATATGTCTTAGCTTTACTCGAAATATCAATTGCTTCGCCCTTTAACCATTCTGTTTTGTCTTGTTTTTGTCCCTTGACCTTATCTTCCTTCTTGAGTTCAATACTCTGTTATTTAGTATTTTTGTCGTAGTTTAATTCGCCGCAAATATTTATAGGGTCTGGATTTGTTCTAGAAAGGTTCCGTCCCAGAATATAGGTTCTAAATAATTCTAGTTTTTTGTGATATACCAGTGCAGGCCCACTGTAGGCTATCATGGATATATCTTCTTGTATGATGGATTGTCTACACGTTGCAATTTGTTAGATTAAATTCACTGAAATCCGCACAAGTGTGTTTTTATATATCATTTCTTTCTATTAATAAACATGATTTAAGAGCAGTGCTCCTTGCAAGTTTAAATAGTGTAATTCAGTCAAAAATAAAGCCTCTCCTTCTCAGATGACCTAACCTCTAGTGCGGTAACGCTAGAGGTGGACGTCAAATCGAATGTTCATCCGATCTCGCCGTACATATACGGCACGTCATTCTTGAACGACGTTGAGTTCGGCAGAGAGATCAAACTGTCGGTCGACAGATTTGGAGGCAACGCCGCCACCAGGTACAACTGGAAGAACGACGTGACCAACCGCGCGTCCGATTGGTTCTTCGAGAATATAGCCGAGGACAACACAAATCCGGAGGCTCTTCCCGACGGTTCTACGAGTGACGAGTTCATTGAGAAAGACAAGTCATTCGGAGCACGTACCATGCTTACTATTCCGCTTATCGGCTGGGTGCCAAAAGACAGGTAATGTACTGTACTGATTGTTCATGTTCATTCTAATTATGGGTTAGGGGGGTTTTTTGTTGATATTGATGTTATACATGTAAATAACATGTGTTTGTGTGGAAAAATTGGTGCGTCTGATACATGAATATGTGTTATATACGATGAAGTGTTGAAATTTTATTCAATGAAGGAATGGTAAATTGGTTAGAGAAATCAAACGATTATTCCATTCAATAAAATGTATATTTAAAGAATAGGAGACGTTTCGGTCCAAAAAAATTTTGGGGTCCTTTTCAACCCAACAAAAGTTCTAAATTCTTAAAAAAAGTAAATTTTTTCTATGTGGTATTACGTAACTTTTTAAGTCTTCAATGTGGTTGGGAAAGATATCCATCCGTTTGCACTTCTCTAAGAAAATCAGTTGATTGAAAAATAACTGAAGTTTCAACGTTATGTTGATCCACGACTTCACGAGAAATACACCTTGATATTCAAATTATTACGAACCCATTTGAGGTATCCCATTCCCAAATTTAAGCCACACAGTTAAATGACAATCCAATGCTTGTAGAAATGATGATGTGTTAAAATTTTATTCAATGAAAGAAAAACAAATTGGTTGAAGAAATCATACTATTATTCCATTCAATGATATGCATATTTAAAGAACAGAAGACGTTTCTACCCGAAAAATTTTTGAGAGGATTGAAGCAGGAGGAAAATTTTCGAAGGACTCCCTCAAATATTCTAGAATATTCCATTTGGAAGTTTGTATGGATCGCAAGTATTCCCAATAAGCCATTTATCGTTGGAAAGCTTTCGAAGAGAGAAGAAAGAATCTGACATCATTGAATAATTTCATCGAATCTTCTGGAAGTTCTCGCGAATCTTCAAAACCGTAACAAGCTATACTTTGAGTATCTTTGGAATTACATTCGACCAAGGCAGGAACTTCAAGTCGGTTTTATTTGAAAAGACACTAAATTAATTGGAGTTACAAAAACGAGGAATGCACCTTATATCCGCAGTCTGATGGGATGGTTGAACGATCTAATACTTCTCTGGAGATCGACCTACGAAGCTTGGTTGACGAAGATCAATCTGTCTGGGACCGACACATACCTATTCTTCTTAGAGATGAGATAACTGGAAGAACACCTGCCAGAATTTTACTTGAGGAAGAACTGAGGCGGCCGACAGACGTGATGTTTGGTCGCCTGAAGATTTTCCAGTGTCTACATACAGACGACAAACTTCAAAAACAACCAAAAGCCATCCATAATGCTGTGCGTATAAAACTACGACCTGAAGGTGACCACATGGAGGCCAGATACGATCGACGAGCCGACTATATTGAGTTAAACGTTGGCTATCGAATTCTCCTTACAGAGGCGACGACATAGATCGGGACGATAGGTATTAGAAAATGTCAGTGTGAGCGACCCAACAAACACTGTAACAAAGAAGACCAGATTTTCTAGATGTCACATTCTGAATCTTTCTAAAGCAAGTCTAGGCGATACAAAGCCAAATAATTTGAGCGAAGAAGTGTGTGATATAGTAGTCAAATAGAAATTAATTAATAGTGGTGTTGATTAAAGAGTAAATGGTTAAATAAAATCAGTCAATAGGGAGGAAGGTGTTTGATGAACGGTTTTCTCTAGGTGGCTTTAATAACTAATGTCTCTTTTTCATTTACAATTTTTAAAATAGTATTAATTGTGTTTTAAAATATGTACAAATAGAAACAGTAGCTGCGGCTTTAGCGTCAGGAAGTACGGTCCTCAGCAGCAGACCGACCAGTGGAGGCCCGATTGCGGTAATGGCAGGAAGACCAATGGTACGACACTGATTACAGGCAACGACCCGACCGATACCTCAGTCAAGATCAACAGCACGTTTGCCAAGGAGTGGGTTCAGTACTTGATCAAGAAGTATGACACCGCAGACCAGGGCGGAGTGCTCTTCTACGAGATGGACAACGAATACGACCTGTGGCACAGTACCCACCGGGATGTCCATCCGCAGCCAGCCTCAACCGATGAGATCATTAAACTCACTGAGGAGTACGCGCTGGCCGTCAAAGAAGTCGATCCATCCGCTTTGACTCTCGGACCAGTGGGGTGGGGATTTTTATCGTTTTTGCGCTCGGGTAAGTCAGGGAATGGTATGCAGTGAGCACACATTTCGTTAAAGGGACTTTAACTGAAGTTGATTGTAAGAGAGTTTCACGTAAACTATTAACGAGCGACGTGAAAGATGAATACTTCAGTCAGTGAGTTTGCTAATTTTCGGAATATAGAAGGTGTCGATGCACTAGTGAATTATTTTTTTTTAATAACTTAACAGGGAAAATCATTACTGCTGTCACTCTCTCGCCTGGAATCATACCCGGGCACCTGGTTTTACACACCAGTATCACTAAGCTACGAGGAGGTGATAGCAGAAATGCCGAGGATACGAGTATTAGTTACAGAATCGTCGGAATCGTACAATTTTTTTGTGTTGAATTCAATGCATTAGTGAACTGCTTTTTTGAATTAATTAATAAAAGTGCAGAATGAGGTTCCTCAACAAAAACTATTGTATTTTAAAATTTGGGAAACAATGATCATGGTTTCATGGAACTTGTTTTAGGCCTGGACTTTGCCAATGGGACTAATATAGACAGGGAGAGGCACGAAAACATGGATTTTGTACCCTATTATCTGAAAACGATGAAGCAGCTGGAATCTAATCACTCAATACGACTGCTTGATTACCTCGACCTTCATATGTACCCACAAGCGGCCAACGTGTTCAGTGACAGTACAGACCCGGAGGTAATGGCAGTGAGACTCAGGTTAGTGCAAGTTTAAAAATGGGCTTGTTACTAAACATGGGATTTAATAACCTAGTGAACCTAAAAATTTTCGAAATCCATTAATTAATAAAAGAAAAAGATATATTAGGTATTGAACAAAGAAAGTTAAAATAACAAAAAAATCCTACTGTGGAAATTATCAATCATATTTAACAAGTTTACATTCTATTTCATATCTTACACCAACATTTACTTAGATCAACTCAGGCTCTATGGAACGCTAATTACACAGACGAAAGCTGGATCAAGGACCTGGGCGAACCGAATAACCGGATACAACTGATCCCCAGGATGAAGCAGGCTATCCAGACTTACTATCCAGGTACCAAAATAGCTATCACCGAGTACAGTTGGGGCGGCTTGAACAGTTTGAACGGCGCCCTCGCTCAGGCAGATGTACTTGGTATTCTGGGAAGGGAGGGCGTTGACCTGGCTCTCCTCTGGGGATCGCAAAATGCCTCCGAGCCATGGGGGTATGCTTTCAGGTAAGGATTTTTTTTACGAACGTTAGCTTCTTGAAAGGGTAAATATTGTAAAATATCCTAGCTGACATATTTGTATTGTAAGTATGTCTTTGGAATCTATGGCTGGGTGTAAGGTATACAGGGTTTGTCCGGAAAGTAATAGGACTGAGTCGATTTAAAAAATTTTATTGAGCCAATCGTTACAATTTTTTAAAAATTTTCAAAATAGGCTCCTTCTGCGATTTTCTAGCATTGAAGGCGTCACGGAAGGCATTCTCCGGTGTATGCTGTTTGGATCCCCTCTGTCGTCTCAAAATGCTTGCCATTCATCGGCCTTTTCAGGCGAGCAAACAAAAAAAGTCCGGGGGGGGGGCACATCTGGGCTGTAGGGCGGCTGCGGAAGCGTTGGCATGCCGGCCTTGGTCAGATAGCTATCCACAAGAAAGGTGGTGGGAAGCGGGGCATTGTCGTGGTGCGACTTCCTCTCGACTGCGATGTCTTGTCGGACCCAATTGACCCTTCGTTTGAGTCTGTTGAGCACTTCCACGTAAAACTTGGCGTTGACGGTTTGTCCAGGAGGAACAAATTCATGGTGGACGATGCCTTTCATGTCAAAAAAGACAATGAGCATCGTTTTCACTTTGGATTTGCTCATTCTTCCCTTTTTTGGGCGAGGAGACGCCGGCGTGTGCCACTCGGAAGATTGCCTCTTTGTCTCGGGATCACTTGTTCTCGTTGGAAGAGATGCAATGTGCCCCCTGCAGTGGGGACACAATTCCCCACTGTTACGTTCTGCTCGAGCCCATCTATTAATTACCGGCGGTGGAAGTGGCGGGGGTGGTGGTGACGGACTTGCTGACGGAGTAGACCAACTTTGGGACCGGGCAGATTGGGCACTTTCTCTAAGGTGCATCTGCATCAAACAGAAATTTCGTTAACAAATATTGAACCATTGCTCAATTGTCAGAAAGATTTTGGAGCACTCTCGAATTTTTCAATTAAGGTTCTAAATACACAAACGTTTTATCACTAAATTGTATCTCTGTATTTTATAGGATAAAAAGGTAATCTGTCGATCATCATTGACGGTATCGCTAAACGACAAGACACGGGTGAAAACAATTTTGTCGGCCGCTGTATTGTTAAATTCTCTGTCCCACTAATTCCTTTAATCCAGTGGATGTCAT